TTTATTGGCTGAATATTCACTCTATAACCAATTTATAGTGCCAATCTTAGCCGACAAAAATTCAGACCTTACCCGATAAAAATTCATGTTGTACTTATGATTTTCAAGGTTTTTCAAAGGCTTGGCTCAGGCCCCGAATCCGGCGTTTTTACTTTAATTTCTTTCATTAAGTTTGATTTGAGGTTGGTAGCTTCTATGAAGTTTAAGCTATCTATTACTATTGTAAGCTTTGATGAGGACTTTGGTTCGAGGATCAATGGAGGGAGAGAGGAAGAAAGTCAAAGATGATTGGGGTTTAGGTTTAAGAAAGAGGATGATGATGATAATACAAATACCAGAACCCAAACAAGTTGATCGGTTGCTCACTGATCGAGAGAGCATTTCGAACTGAGACATTTGAGCTCCTGTTAGTTTAAAATTCTGGCTCTGCTGCTGAGACTCAATCCACTCTTCTACCTTTAATGTAAATAATATAATATGTAATAAAAAATAAAGAATTATAATTGCTTGTAAGTTATAGGATCCAAAATAAGTTTATGGATGTCGATCATCGATCAACCTGGTAAAGCAAAAGCTTTGGAGTGACCGACATTGCTGATAAGGCTCCACGTAAGAGCATGCATGGACAATGGTGGCGTGGAATGCACTTCCCGCTGTGGGTCTCCTGCTTTAAACTTTACACATGGAACCGCGTCTTTGTTAACGATTGTCAAATACCCACATTTTAATTAAGTAAACGGAGTTAAGAAAGTTAGAGCACAAGTCAGGATGGCCGAGTGGTCTAAGGCGCCAGACTCAAGTTCTGGTCTTCGAGAGAGGGCGTGGGTTCAAATCCCACTTCTGACAAATGTATTTTTTTGATAGTTTTATTTTCTTTTGAATAATTTTTTGCTTCAACTCAGTGCCTTTGAGAATTCAGCGGCCTCACAGACATAATTCAAAAGAAATTTTGACTTTATTTTTTAAGTTATCCATGAATTACACGAAAGCTTATAAGTTTAGTAATTAAATTGGGTATCTGGAACGTCAACAAAGCAAAGCACATTGTATGCATGCATGTGTGCTTTTGGTGCGATGACTTGCTAGCTATATACTGCTTTTGCCTACATGAATTGACGTGGGAGCTTTGGTTTGTAGAGATATGTAGCATTGCAGCTCAAAAGAGTACTTTTGCTGTTGAATTTAGTTGGAACGGCCGGGTTTAGCGTTTAATACAAACTCATGTGTAAGACTCTCTCTTCCTATGATCTTGTATTAGTGGTTGAGAGCCCCACGCAATAACAATGAAATTGTTCAATCTCTCTCCGCATAACATAATGTACTTTAAATATGTAAATCACACTTAAAGCCGGGATGTTAGCATTACAAACGATTAATCACTCAATAAGCAGAGTTATATAGTTGCTTAAAACATGTTGCGTATATGGATAATCCAAAACCCTAGCACACCAAATTTTCTGCTTTTAAAACGAAATCAATAAATAAAAATTGGTGGTTTTGAGACTTTTGACCATCATGCATGCAAAAGTGCAGAAGGTACGATAGCTTAGCTAGGTTATCAAGTTGGCGGTGGAGGGAACTCTGCATAATACGTATGATGATGACATGCAACTGATGCGAGTGGAATGTCGACGCTGCATGTTCAAAAGGTGCCCGCGCTCCCTGGAAAGTCCCATGTGGAGTTGCAGCATGTGCAAAAATTGACCTCATCAGAAAGTTCTTCCCTTATCTTAATTAGACCCCTTTAATTTTGGGATGACCATGGAATATTTGCAGCACTGCAACAGGTACTAACTGTTAGGCTGTTAGCTAGGCGATGACTGTTTAGTTTATACTTTTTAGCAACTTGCATGCATTTGCAACGGTGGTCCAATGAAAGGAGATCAGATCGATATCTGTTGATCGAAACCGCGATACGAAAACATGTTTCTCTAATTTCTTTCCCCCTTGTTTCTGACTTTTAGATTGTTGATCAGACATTGTGTACTGTTGTAGAGGATATAAATCTAGCTGATAGGGTATCTTTTTTGGTAAATTGCTTTTTCTCTCTTCTTTTTACTTTAATTGTGCACAAATGGCTGATGTATATGGACCCTCCCTAACTATAAAAAGTGATTTTATTAATCTAAAGTAAAAGTATTACATCGAAGGGAAAGATCGACTTGTAAGTTGTAATAAGGGGCAGCTGACAAAGTGATGGCATGGAAGGTAGGTGCCATGCAATTTAACCTTTATATCAATAGTAAAACAAGTTAACTCGTTATTCATGAAAGCTCGAACTTAAAGACACCATATACTGTTATACCGTAGTGCTAGGAACATCCTTTTTTTCTTTCTTAAATATACATATAAATACCAATTCGGAGTTTCAAAAGAATGAGGTTAGGATCGGAAGCTGATTTGAGTAAAGTGCAGTTTGTCTGAGTCGTGTGTTTGGCCCAACACACATACTTTGCATATGATTTTGCTTCATTGGGCAAGATGGGCTTAGCTCTGCAGACTTTCTATAAAAGCTTATTTGGGTGGACTTTTCGATTTTACAAACAAGAAAAAAGACAAAGGAAAGAGATTGAAAGTAATAGTTTTTGTTGGTTGAGAACTTTGGAAAATCCAATAACTTATGGATATCGCAGTTCGGCGTTTAGAATATGCAACTAGCATTGTTTGGCATGATCCAAACAAAAGAATCTGCAACTAGCAATTTATATATTTTATTACAAATTTCTCAGAGGTATTAAGTTTGACAAAAAGTTAATATACAGTGGAGATTCACTTATTCTGGTTTGATAATTAACTCACACACCAAAAAAAGAATAAAGTAATTTCCTTTCCAACAAAGGATTATAGGTCAAAAATGGAGGCTAGTTTCACATTCAGATCATTATCCAGAGTCCCCTTTAATATAGTTATTTTTGTCTGTTAATTATATATGTATATATCATATTCTTCAAATTTCAGGCTGTATTTGTTCTTATTGGCGATAATGATGCCCCAACGAAAACCTATATATATATATATATATATATGAAAGCTTTTAGTTTGTTCATATATATGCATATATGGTCGAGTCATTTATGTAAACATAAGGGTAGAAAACTAATGCAGGAGGTAGTAGTTAAGTAGAAGTTTAGTTTTGTGTGAGTCAAGTTGAGAAGACAAAAGTGTGGCCGCACTGCACTTTGGTCCAACATCTCATTCATCATGACTCGGAATTCAATTAGCGGTAATCATCCTTCTTCAAATTTCATTAAATAAACAATAATACAAGCAAATTATTAGGAATAATTTTGACAAGCAAGCAACTTGAAGGGTTTGCCAACTTGAAAACAAAGGAATCATTTTGACAAGCAAGCATCATGAAGTGTTTGCCAGCTTCAAAACAAAGTTTCCCGGCTGCATTTGACTAAATCAGTGGTAGTGGATTCGATGTCTTTTCACCATCTCTAAGAGCCCCAACAAGAAGTATTTGAGCTTGATTGGACATAAAGAGGATTCAGCTTCACTGTTCACAAAGCGACATGAGTCCTTGTATTGATTGTTTCGTATCATGTATTGATCATATGGCGTTTTAAATTCTATTTTTAAGTCAAAAAATACAAAAGTATTAAATTTTACACGATCGTAATGATCACAAAACGGTAAATTCATTATCATATCCCGCCCCAAATATACCTGTTATGAAACTGGTTGTGCATGAACATATATGTTATATGCATAAGCTAATTTGGACACATATGCCGAAAATTCTTGACCCGAACCAGAAAATAACTAAAGGGGCACACACGCACACCAGAGTGGAATGGAATATACGGCGCTCCACATCTCTCATGAGTTATATATACATAATTTATATGATTAAAAATTTAATAAAATAAGATAAATAAAATGAAGGGTGGTGTGGTGGTAGCGTGGATAAGGCAGGCCAAGCCAGCCACTGAACCATCGTGCGTATGACGGATGCTGCGCATGCAGCGGCCGCAGCAGCACCACCAAATGAAGGACGTGCGTTTCTTGATTCTTGACACCGACCTCCCTTGGCCACTTCGAAACCTCTAACAGTCACCACCCACCACATATATAATCTTAACCTTATTATTGTTTGCTTACACACTTGACACTTACAACAATCAAATGAGCCACACTTTCCAGAAAGTGAATTTGTATAAACAGACACTTGTTACAATTCAATCCACAAGTTTTATTCTAGAAAATCTTTAACACATATACGACATCTGTTTTATGAGGTCAATTTAAGGTTGTTAAACGATATTGTCGAGAATTCTATAATTTACTTGTATGTGGGATGCATCAATGCATTGGTTAGACATATAAATTTACATTTGACAATCTCAATTTAACATTGAAACAAGTTATGCTTAATTAGTTTTGTGATATATTTTGTTATGATGAGAAAGTAAGTTCATAGGGATATTGGGACACAATCATTAACGCAATCACCAAACCTTTGTTTCCAAGGATTATGATAACATCAAATAATTAAAAGAAAGAATAACCATGGATGACGCAAATGTGTCATAATGTCTTGTCAACATAAGTTAGTTAGGGTTTATTACCGATGATAGGGTCATTGCAAACTCTAACATAATTAGTTTAGCCATCATGTATTCTCACATTTTTCAAACTATAATTATGAATACTTTTGTGAAAATGTAGAAACGTTGTTGATGCACAAAATCTGGTTGAAATCGATTGCGAGAACTGATATATAGTTTTTCGTGAAAATTGTAAAGTGTGGTAATTGATAGACAGAGATTGCGAAAATCACTTCTCAAACGTTAATATTAAACACAGAAAAGTGAATGATTAAGGTCATCTCATACATAACCATCCACATATTTGAATAATCAAAATTCAAAAAGCTTTATTATTTACATTATCCTCGTCCCATTATTGCTTCATATAGTGTCAAATTTAAATGATACAAAAATACATACAAAATGCTGAGTGACAAAGTGACATCAAATGGAAATAATACAAGCTTAGCAAAAACAAAAACTTTATTATCTTAGTACCAAATTAAGCAGTTAACATCATATAAATTATATATTGTATATTTTACATATGATGTGTATCACTACATTCCCCACAACAAACAAAAATGAATTTCGACCCTCCATTTAATATAAAGAATTGGATGACGAAAAACAATAAAAAATTTCAAAATGAGCCACAATAATTTTTCCATATATAATCCCTAAATTCTAATCTAATTACCTAATAATCCAATAATCTAATCTAATCTAACCTCCGTACAACTTGCCAATTGGATTTTAGAAGCTGACGGGTGGGTGCGGAGAAATTTTTTATAGTGATTGAAACACGGATGGTACACCAAGTGTTTTTATATAAGTGGTGGAAAATTGTATTTTTTAATACATATATCTCACCATTTATATAACGACATGTAATATACCATGTATTCCGATCATATTGAAAAATCTCTCGTAGATGGACTTTCCCATCACATGACTCTAATCCACGTAACCACGGCCATCCATGTGGGTCCACCTCCCAAAAATCACATGGGCAGAAAAGAAAAAAGTTGAAAGGTCCACCATCCTAAATTGGGCCCATGTTATTGAATCACATGGCCCAACCAACAGCAACTCAGTTAGAACAAGAGCTGCCATAGCAGAGCGATGACGCCGACCGCACTCATTACACGTGGTTCGAACGTGTGAATGGACGCGGCCGAAAATGAATCGTACGAGCCGCCATCGTACTCCATTGTGTTGTTTATCTCCTGCGGCGAGGTTGAGGTGGTTGTCGACGGCGGTGTAGTTGTCGGCTGCGGCTGTGTGTTGTCCTGTGACGCTTTCTGGCTGTAAAATTGCACAACATTCAGTCAGTACAATTACCGTTACAAAATTAGATACCATGAAAAATGTAAATTATGGACCGTCGCAAAAATAATGTGATGAGTTTTGGAGTGTGCTGAGTTTTAATTAGTTAAAGAAAGGGAATCGGATCTCTAGATTCCGAAAAGAGCATTGGGATCTGCGTTGTGCTCCGGCATCGGAGACCGCATGTGGAATTCTAAATGGAGTGAGATCTCGCCGGATTCTTTTTGTGAAGATCTCCGAGATCCTTAAATTACATCCGTTTATCGTACATCGTGCAGTCATAAATTATTGTAAATTTTTTTATTTAAAATTGAATATAAACAGTACCTAACGAAAACTGACCACACTATATATAATGAACAAATGTGATTGAAAGATCCTAAGGATCTTCATAAAAAGAATTCGACGATGATCCTCTCTCTTCTAAATGGACCAGCCTGGAATTCTATAAGTGCACCACTCTCCACTTTATTTGAAAAGACCGTTTTGACCTTCATTTGTTTAATCCATTTGGTGGCTGGCACACATTCATAAATTATTAATGCTACGTAAACTCTTTGTAGATTCTCTGTCACCTTATGTTTTTAGCACAATATTTTAAAATATTGATATTGAATTCGACGTTACAATGTGAAGTGGTAGAGTTCTTATACCATCTTGTGAGGTGACGAACAAATTTTAAGATTAGTTTTGACTTTTACAATTGAATTGCCACATTATCATGCTAAAAAAAAATCAAGAGAAAGACTTCCATGAAACATGCATGCGACGATGACAATATATTTAGCTAATCAGTTAAAATGCATGATAATGTGTAATTGAAAGCGTCAGCGGGAGAGCCGTCGTCTGTTAGCGCCCATCACTGACAATGACTAGTGACCTTTCGGATATTCCGTTGAGTTAAACCGACTTAACGGAAAAAACCTAGCACCAGGAAGTAAATGAGTGAAAAAATCTCACCCCTAACGGCTTCATACGAAGCTAATCGGGAGGACGAAACTACCCTTACAACGGTCGAAAAAGGAGGGAAGCAGAATGTAAAGGATAATTCCGGAAATTTACCTGGTACTGGGCGATGGGCAGAAGATGATGGTGTAGTCGCCGCCGGCGCATGTGAATGTGCTGGTCTTGTCGTCGTAAGCGTAACTGTATGCCTGCGGGCACGCGCTCTTGAAAATCTGAGAGTATTGAGAGGGCTTGCAAGTGTCGGGTGAACCGTAGGCTCCGCTGCAACAGTACTGCGGCTGGCCGAACGCCTCGCCGCGCTCTTGCACGCGACTCCTGCAGCTCCGTCGGCACCGGTGACCTTGAGGTCGGAAGGGCAGATGGTGTTGAGGTCGGTAACGCAGCCGGTCTTAGTACAGTTGGTCCCAGTGCCGCCATTGGGGACCACCAGCATAGGGAGGTTGTACCCGTCCACGAGGCTGACGTCGAAGAAATCAAGCCCGCCGGAGCCGTCGAGTGTGAATTCAGCGAGAGTGGCGGGCGGGGCGGCTCCGTTGCCTGAGCATTCTAATTTTCCTGAGCCACAGTCCGCGGGTGAGGCAGGAGAATTTGCCGGCGGAGTCGTGGGAGCAGAGGGTTCGGCCCCAGAAGCGGCCGCCCCACGAGGCTGGGGCGGAGATAGTTTTCGTTTCGCCCTTTGCGAGGGCGAAGCCGGTGGTCGGAAGAGGTGAGATCCCGGCGTTGGTGAGAATGCCCGGCCACACTGTGTAGTCGCACTTGTTCTCCATTGTGAATGTCCTTGAAACAACACCTGCACGTTAATAAAACAGAACAAAATTAGTACACAAATTAACAAAATTGAAGCCAGAATTATAACAAAGCTGGGAATTTAATTGGGATTATAGATTATTACCTGATGTTTGTAGCCCCAGGATGGTTAACAGAGAAATTAACAATGATGGTAATCGAGCCATGGATTCAAAGCTGGGATTTGGAGAGAGAGAAAGAACAGAGGAGAGGGTGTGCGGGATTTTCTGAAAGGTGGGAGGGAAGAGTATTTGTAGAAGAAAAGGGAAGAAGAAGAGGTGAAAGTTTTTTGACTTTGCGTCTTGTATTCCATGTTGCGTAAGGAAAGTTTTTCACGTTTTACTTTCTGCCAGTTTTTTATTTTTGTTTCCATGAATCAGTTGGAAAATCAATTTTAATTAGGGATATACATTGAAAAGGGCAAGTCTTTCTCTCAAGTAAAACAGAGGGCAACTAATCCAAATGACTTGATGCATGGTTTATTTTGCCACACTTTTCTCAAAGGGTATACATTTTTCTCTTCCAACTTACCTCCAACTAGTTTTGTTTCCTGTTCTTCTGAAAAAGTGATTGTTACGTTTCTGTTTTCTCATTCCGCACTTCTTCTTTAATTTATGTCCATTGATTTTCTTTTGATTTTTTTTCTCTTAAAAGGGAGATCAGTCGATGGTTTCACTACGACAGTCCACCCTCTTGGGGCTCGGGAATACTCACAAAGACATTTCAGCCTCCTCTAGCCAGCATCATGTGATTCGCCAGCATTAGGAATCAAACATATTACTTGATGCGTGAAATGTTGGCTTGTAATTTGTCTCCAATCGCTGGACCACTCCGAGATGGTTATTTTTTTTAATTCGTTGAATGCAAAAGAGAGGAAAGAATGGAAGAGTTCGAGAAAACTAAAGCTTATGGTTTAGATTTTAATAATAGTACACAAGATAATATGGATCAAGGAAAGTGAATTTTAGGTGACAGGCAGGTGTGATGAACTCTATTGATATGTCAATTTTATTACTATTAATTTCATGGGTTGTTCTACCATACTCTTGTACTAGAATTTCTTAGGTTCGTACAACGATAAAACTTATGCAACATGCAAAATAATCCGTGATAAAGTATTAAAAATCTACATAAAATGTTCATTTGCACCAAATCAAGCGCAAAATTCTTCATGTAACTGGTTAATTCTCACTTTCTATTTATATCGCACATCACGCCTGATATAAAAGATAATCAAGTGCAGAATTATTACATTTATTCATTAGTCACGCTCCAAATAGATAAAAAGAGATATATATATAACTGGAATATGAAACAGTAGTCGATAATTAGATCTTGGTAGATTCCCATTTTACCTTTCTAGAATCTCACGATTAGCAACATAAGATGGCTACAAAATAAAAGATTATAGTGTTTTTTTACTTCTAGAATCCCATGATTAGCAACATATAGCCTCTGGAATTTTCGTTTCAAACGTACACGATGATTTCCCAGATTTTGGCAAACACACAGTATTTGTGTAAACGCATTGTATTGTATGAGAGTTTTTTTTTTTTTTTTTTTTTCTGTATCTTACATACGGAATAGAACACCACATGACATTATACGAATAGAAAAACATTTAAAAAAAATTTCTGCAATTGTATGATAACACGTGATATAATATCCAACCCATCTTTCGAACACACTGGAAAAAATTCTCTTATCGTATGTTGATGGAAATTGAAGTTTGTCAAGAGATAGCGACTGCCACGAGCAGAAGTAACAGCCTCGTCGGGCAGAGTCAAATATATAAAACCTGGGCGGTTGGCATTCGGAGAATCGCTGCAGACAGTCGTTTCTGGCTAGCTTTTTATTTAATTAACGCATGTTTCTTATGGTTCCCGCACTTGGGAAATAAACTTGGGAGTATCGCTCAAATCGTTGGACCGGTACTGGGTTAATTCATAAGGATAATTAAGGTCAATATTGTCTCACCACAATACCTAGTTGGCTATCTGTCTGTTATATATATAACAAATGGGCCAACGGCGTCGATTTGCAATAAAGAGACGCATTAAAGGGTTAGCTTCATCTTCCCTTAGACTGTTCTACAAACGAGAAATTTTTTATTGTGATCGGAATACAAGGGATATACTACGTGTTTTTATATAATTAATAGAAAATTTTACTTTTTAAGTTATTAACTTTTTAACACACATATCCCAAAATTTGTATAGTAACACATAATGTACCATCCCATGTACTGGTCATACTGAAAAATCTCTCCTACAAAACCTATATATATATATATATATATATAATTGTTGAACTACCACAATAATTTTGAAAGAATTGGATACTATTCCCCAGAAAATATCTTACAAGAAAGCAAGTGCATGCTCAGATTCATTGGTTTTTGTTGATCATTTTACTCGTAAACATAATGGTTTTTTAGTCAAAAGATTTTTAAGATTGACATAACTCCTATTTGGTTTTTGACATTGAAAATTGAGAGAAGTGGTCCTTAAGTTTATTCATAGTAAATTATTTTGGTCATTCTATGAGAAATCTGTCAATATCCTCGTGAAGTAAAAGGGTTAGTTTGACAAAGGGGTGATGTTGTCCACACATCCCTCTCAATTTTCGATTGTCAGATCAAATGAACTGAAGAAGATTAAAGAACAAAAATTAATAAGAGTTATGTGGGAGTTGAAAATGCATGTGTGGATAGCACACTCTTGGTAAAAGTACTCTTAAAAAGGTAATAATGTGGTTGTTCACGTGATAATTTAATGAGAATATTAACATATTTATAACGAAATAACCAAAATAATTTACAATGGACAAATTCAATGATCACTTTTAACAATTTTCATTATCAGAGACCAAAATGAGAAGTTGTGCCATTATCCAAGATCATTTTGACTAAAAAACGTAAACTCAATTAAAATGATTAAAACCATTAATCACCATCAGAGGCATTAGCCACCTTAGACCGAAACAGTTGAAGATAGTGGTATTCAGGTTTTACAATCCTTCGACTTATCGGCCGTGGTGTCAACCTCAGTCATGGCAGCCATTATTCAACGCCGGAGACCGTAGACAACGAGACACTTGGGTTTTAAGTGTCGAAGTAACATAAGTGTATTGAATTGAGAATTTGAGAGACTTTAATAGATTTTTATAGAGTTTAATTGATTTGTAGATATTTCATATAAATTTTGATTCAATTCCCTCAAAATCTC